GGCGTGCAGGCCGTGGGCTCTTGGCCGTCGCCGGCTCCCTTGGCGCGGGTGTGCCGCCCTGCCCCTGCCCTGCTGGCGGGGCCCGGCTTGCGCCGCGTCGCGGCTTCGCCTTGGACGAGGGTCCTCGTGGTGAGCCTCGCGGACCCGGGGCTCCCCATCTGCTGGTCCCCCGCTGGCTGTGCAGCCTCCTTCTTCTGGGTGATGGTGCCCCCCTGCCCTGGTCACCTCCCCAGCGGAGCAGGGCCGCGTCCCGGCCAGACGAGCTCTTCCGTGCTGGCATCGCTCTCGAGGCTGCAGCGCCAGCCTCCTTTCTGTACCTCCGCTGGGGGCCGAGGCGCCGCACCCCCTCCACCTGGAGTGTGTCGGCCGAGGGCTGCTGCCTCCACCGTGGCCGAAGCTCCAGGTTCCAGGGGCGCTCGTCTTCTCTGTGGACCTGGGGGTTCCGGGGGTCTGCTGCCAGTGCCGGCCGTGGCCCCCTTGGCGTCTGAAGCATCGCCTCCGCGGCCCTTTGCTGTTCTTGTCACCTTGCGTCTGCCTCCGTCACGGGTCCTTGCCGCCAGTGTGATGGCCTCTGTGTGTTGCTGCCTCGGTGCTGGCATCCCAGTCCCTGCAGGGTGGTGCTTGCTGAGGGCATCACCCCCTGAGTTCAGGGGTGTGGACTGGGGCCGCCTCCTGGGCTGGAGCGCCTGTCTAGGACCCTTTTGGGTTCTTGGGTAAGAGAGGGAGGTGAAGCTCGGGCCGATGCAGAAAGAGGTTTCCTGTGTTGTGGAGGTCCCTGCGCACCTCGTGCTGGTGTCCAGGCGCCGGTGCTCCCGGATCAGAGGTGCCCAGCCTACGCCAGCCCGCTGGAGTGCTGTGTGGAGCTGTGTCCGGGGTCCTTAACTGCTTGCTCTGTCCCCCCGAGATGCCCGTGGGTGCCGTTGCAGCTGCCCCCTGCTCCTGGTCCTGAGTGCTCCGCACTGAGGAGGGCTCACCCCGAGCCTTAGGCGGCACCTGCCTACCTGCCTCCTCGTACTCCAGGGCCCTGTCACCTCCTGCCCCGTGTAGTGCTACGTGTAGTGTTACGTGTGATAGCTGCTGGCCACGTGTGGCAGTGACAGGTTCAAGTGAGAAGGGAAAAGCCCGGTGTTAGCATTGCACTCGTGGCAGACAGCAACCTGTGGCCCAGTTCCCACGGGCCCGTGCCGTGCTCCGTTGGACAGAACAGCCCTGCAGGTTCTTCCTCCCCGACCAGGGCCACCTTGGTTCCTCTGCCCGCGGATCTGACTTAACGGGTCTGAGTTCTGCGCATGGGGTGGTCTCTGCCTTGTGGGGGGCCAGTCCACGGGAGCGCCCCGGGTCTCAGCGCCTGCTCTTCAGCGTAGAGCGAGGGGGTGGGGTGCAGCTTGGGCCCTGAGCACCACCGCGCTGCTTCCCCAGTTCTCTGACCGCAGCGCCGGGCCCTGTGGTGCGGCCACCGTGTGCCTCAGTCCTCTCTAGGTTGCGTGCAGCTTCGTTTTGGGAACCTGGCCTGGTAGTGTAGGTTTCTCCGAAGTGTAAACTTCCTGTACATTTGATACAGGATTCTTCTTGTGCAGCTCGTAGCTAAGGTACCTTCTCAGCCTCTTGTCCCCGCGTCCGGGAGGGACCGCTTCCTGCCTGTCCCCAGCCTCCTTGGCCCCGGGCCCTGGGAGGTAGGGGTGTGGCCTCTTTTTGGGTCAGGGTTCTGCTGTGGACTGGACTTGGAGGTGCACGCCCCTCCCTGGGTCCCCGCAGGCGCGAGCTCAGCCCCGCATGGTTCCGGGCACCGCCTGTCACCCTCCCGCCTTTCCCGGCTCCGCGCACGCACCGCAGCACCGGTGCCATCTGTCTGAAGAGTGGCCGTGACTCGTCCCACTCTGAAAATTCCTTGGAGTGTCATCTGGGGGCAGGCTTTCCCCTTCCTGGGGCAGAGGCCCGCATGAAGCGTCCGCTCTTCCCCTGGAAGTGCAGCGCGCTCCCGGTCCTGTGGGCCGGACGGGTTGGGGTGGAGGAGGCAGAACCAGCCAGGTCTCTGTCATCGTAGAGTAGGCGCTTCCTCCCCTGCCCCTACCCCACCGCCCCCACCTGCCCCTGGTCTGGCCAGCTGCAGAGGAGGAGGTAATTCCTCGCTGATCTCTCCAGCAGCCTCCAGCAGCGGCCGAGCCGGGGAGAGTATGAAGAGAGCGCATCTGTAGGCCAGGGAAGATGGCGGACAAGCGCAAACTCCAAGGTACGGGAGGCGGCCATGGCGCGTTCAGCGGCTCTCCTCCCGCCATCTCTCGGGCCGGCCGGCCAACGGGACCCTGAGAGCCTGCTTCTTCCCTGGCCAGGTGAGATTGATCGCTGCCTGAAGAAGGTGTCCGAAGGCGTGGAGCAGTTTGAAGACATTTGGCAGAAGGTACGGAGGCCGGCAGCGTAGGTGTCTGGGAGAATGCAGGAAGGGGTCTGAGGGGTTGACCTGGGGACGGGCTGCCTGTCCTGGTGCCAGGGGCTTGGGAGAAGGGGTCCCGGAGTCCCATCCTGCGGAAGAGAAAGGCTGGACTTGCACCACTGGAGCAGGGTCCAGCAGCCACTCCAGACTGACTGCTAAACTCTCTGCCTCTCAGCTCCACAACGCAGCCAATGCGAATCAGAAGGAGAAGTATGAGGCCGACCTGAAGAAGGAGATTAAGAAGCTACAAGTGAGGGGACTGGGGCTGGGCTCCTGTGTCCTGTGGGTGGAGGCCCGGGAGTGTGGACTGCTGGGTCCCAGGGCGGAGAGGAGTCGGGGGCCCAGTTCCTGGGGCCCAGGGTCTGAAGTTTTCGCTTCTGCAGCGGCTGAGGGACCAGATCAAGACATGGGTAGCCTCCAACGAGATCAAGGACAAGCGGCAGCTTATCGACAACCGCAAGCTCATCGAGACGGTAGGAGCCCAGAGCTGGGTCTGGGGCACTGGGGAGTGGCCACATAGGTCCCCGAGTCCCAAGGGGGCAGCGGACCACCTGAGCCTAGAGGAGCCAGGGCTCTGCCCCTGAAGAAGGGCAGGCACAATGGCCCCGGGGCGGGCACAGGGCAGGGCGTCCCCGAGCTTGAGGTTCAAGTGTCGCTGACCCTTAGTCAGCTCCTCTCCCACCTTCAAGAGCCCCCTGCCAACTGCACTCTCCACAGCAAATGGAACGGTTCAAGGTTGTGGAGCGAGAGACCAAGACCAAAGCTTACAGCAAGGAGGGCCTGGGCCTGGCCCAGAAGGTGGACCCTGCCCAGAAGGAGAAGGAAGAGGTTGGCCAGTGGCTCACGGTGAGTGGGGCCAGGAGGGCAGCTGAGGTGGGCCCCGGCCGGCTGTGCCCGGAAACCGGCTGATGGCGGTCCCTCACTCCCTCCCCAGAACACCATCGACACCCTGAACATGCAGGTGGACCAGTTTGAGAGCGAGGTGGAGTCCCTGTCGGTGCAGACGCGCAAGAAGAAGGGCGACAAGGATGTGAGTGGGGGAAGTCCCCCGCCTGCAGCAGGGGCCGGGCTGGCGGTGGGGGGCGGGGGGTGCCGCCTGGGCCTGGAGAGGTAGGCTGTGCCCAGCACTGAGCCGGGCAGGGCAGAGGCGGCGGCATTCCAGGGCGCCTGCCTGTCTGCCTGGGCAGCAGGGCTGTCAGAAGAGGGCAGAGTGGTTAAAAACGGGCGGTTTCGGTGGGGCCGCAGGTTGTGAGGTGGGGTGACAGCCAGGGCAGGGGCAGCACTGCGCCTAGAGCGCACCAGGATCCCAGGCGAGGGCGAGTGGGGCGCCGAGTGGGCTGGCCGGAGGGAGCACAGCGGTCTGGAGCCGGCTGGAGGCCGGGCTGTGCCCCCACACCTCTAGGGCTGCGGGGTGTGAGTTCACAGCAACGCACTCTGCTTGGGGGGGTTCCTGGGGAGCAAGGCTAGGATTGGGGCACGTCAGGACGTGAAACTTGTGCTGAAGGAGGTCTCGGCCCTGAGAGCTTTGGAACCAGGGCGCGGAGGGAGGAGAGTTGCGAGCAGGCAAAGCTGTCAGATGGTGAAGGGAGCTGGGCTTTGGGGCGGGCAGCGGCCGGGCGTGTGAGCCTGGGCTCCGTGGGGAACGGGTCGGTGAGGGCCAGCGGTGACAGTGGTTATTGTGGGTCATGGCTTAGAAACAGCCTGCTCCCCTAGTGGGGGCTGCTGTCCTTACTGTCATAGCGGCAGGTGGCGGACAGGGTCTGCACCCCAGGAGGAGGGCAGGGCAGGTAGGGGGCCTGCGTCCGGTAAGGTGCAGGCTGAGTGGGTCTGTGTAAAGAGCTCCGGCTCTTCCACAGGTTTCAGGGGTCTGTGGAGCTACAGGACTTGGGGAGGGCGTGACAGCACCCCTGAGATGGCAGGAGCATCGGCTTGGTCCCCTTGGGGGTGGACTCCACACTGCCCGTGCTGGGGGCCTGGACTGGGGACTGAGGACGGGTTCTGTGGGGTAGGAGGGGCCGGGCAGGCGCTCCGCAGCCCCTGAGCCTGGCCCTGGGCTCGCCAGCAGAAGCAGGACCGGATCGAGGGCCTGAAGCGGCACATCGAGAAGCACCGCTACCACGTGCGCATGCTGGAGACCATCCTGCGCATGCTGGACAACGACTCCATCCTCGTGGACGCCATCCGCAAGATCAAGGATGACGTCGAGTACTATGTCGACTCGTCCCAGGACCCCGACTTCGAGGAGAACGAGTTTCTCTACGATGACCTGGACCTCGAGGACATTCGTGAGGCCCGGGCTGCGCTTCGCTCCGCAGGGGTGGCCAGGAGGGGCCGTGGCACCCGCTAAGCACGCCCCTCCCTGACCCCACAGCGCAGGCGCTGGTCGCCACCTCCCCGCCGAGCCACAGCCACATGGAGGACGAGATCTTCAATCAGTCCAGCAGCACGCCCACCTCCACCACGTCCAGCTCGCCCATCCCACCCAGCCCGGCCAACTGCACCACGGTGAGGACGCCTTGGAGCACAGCAGCCGCAGCAGGGTCTGGCTCAGAGCGGCCGAGTCCTCCTGAGCTGCTTGGGGACCTGCGGAGGAGCCAGTGGGGACCTGGTGCCACACCTGGGCCCAGGGTGTAGGGTGGCCGCAGCCGGTGCAGGGGACTCCTACAGAGCTGGAGCACGGCTTCTAGAGAGAAGGCTCCTGGGCCTTACAGCGCCGGGGGTGCTGGGACTGCAGGAGGGTTCCCGGGGAAGTGAAGCCGGCTGTTTGGACAGCGGGGGGCGCAAGTCCGGGAAGGTCTGGGGATGGGTGTCAGGTTGGTGTCCGTGTGGGTCTGGAGGCCACAGGGTTTCTGACTGCACCCCCGCTGCTGCAGGAGAACTCTGAAGACGACAAGAAGCGGGGGCGCTCCACAGACAGCGAGGTCAGCCAGGTGGGTCTGCGGGCCTTGCGGCCGTTGCTGTGTGTTCGGTGCTTCTGCTGCCCTTGGCGCTGCCTCCCGGCACAGCAGGGCGAACGTGCACCAGAAAGAGCCACGGTGCTGCGGCGGGCACGGGGCAGGGTGGCCCGCGGGGATTGGCCCTGGAGAAGTGAGCTCCCGTGGGCTGGTCGGAGTCGGGTCCTCGGGCGCAGCCGCTGAGGGGGCCAACTCTCGGCTGGTGCGCTGTGATTTATGGTGGCCCTCTGAGTAACGTTGGGAAGCACCGCCCCACTCTGGCTGTGTCCCCTCTGCCGTGGGCATGGGGCTGCTCCGGCGGGTCACTCACTGAGGCTGCGTAGGAGCCGACAGTCGGCATGTGGGGCGCATGCAGGTGGGCTGGGGAGCTACCGAGAGCAGTAGTGTGTCCAAGAAGAGGCTGGGGGGACGTGGGAAGCCTGCGCCGGGTGGTCCGGGGGCTGGCCAGCCCACCCAGGCATGACTTCTGTTCCCTCCTCCCTGCAGTCTCCAGCCAAAAACGGCTCCAAGCCTGTCCACAGCAGCCAGCACCCCCAGTCCCCAGCTGTGCCGCCCACTTACCCCTCGGGGCCCCTGCCCGCCACCTCCACCTTGAGCGCCACCCCTGGCAACAATGGGGCCTCTGCCCCCACAGCACCGCCAAGTGCCCTGGGCCCCAAGGCCAGCCCAGCTCCCAGTCATACTTCGGGCACCCCTGCCCCCTATGCACAGGCCGTGGCCCCGCCTGCTGCCAGCGGGCCTGGTAGTGCCCAGCCCCGGCCCCCCAGCGCCCAGCCCAGCGGCGGGAGTGGCGGAAGTGCTGGAGGCAGCGGCGGTGGGGCTAGCAAGCAGAACGGCGCCTCCAGTAAGTGGGGCCGGCAGTGGGGGGCCGGGCCTCGGGCAGCCGGCAGCCCCTGACGCTCAGCCTTCGCTCTCCAGGCTACAGCTCCGTTGTGGCAGACAGCCCTGCAGAGGTGGCCCTGAGCGGCAGCGGGGGCAGCAGCACCAGCAGCCAGGCCCTGGGCCCCGCCTCAGGCGCACACAACCCGCCTCCCAGCTCCGCGTGAGTCCTGGTGGGGCCCAGGGGCTCCAGCTTCTGCCCCCGCTGTTGTCCGTCCCCATTCTCTCCCCCTAGGACAGGTGTGCACTGGCCTCTAGCCTTGGCTGTGGCACGTTTCCCTGGGTGGCCCACACTAGCCTTGAACTCCTGGTCCTCCTCCTTCGGGGTATTGAGGGCTGGGCCTACAGGCGTGTGCCACCGTCCTGGCCTGTCTCGCCCTTTAGGTGTCCTAAAGCAGTGACGGTGAGCCTCTCAGAGCTTCCAGCCCCAAGGAGCAGTCCCTGCTCTGCTCCAGACCGCCCATTTCCTAGCTAACCCTTCCCTCATGCTCCATGCCAGCCCGCTGTGGCGTGCATGCCACAGGTTCGCCACTGTCCTCAACACGTCCTCCGATGGGGACTCTTGGCCGCCACCCCCCCCCGTCTCTGGTCCCTGATGCCCATCGGGGGGACCATGTTCTGCTTCCGATGGGGAGCTCCCTAGCTACCTCAGCCCTGGGGCAGAAGCTCTGCCAGCTGTTCATTGAGTGGCTGACAGTAAACTGATGCCGGGTGTGGCTCACTCCCAGCCCTTATGCCCAGGGCTGCTTGTTTTGTGATGGGAACAGTGGCTCCCATTCCTCAGTGACCACTGTATTTTGTTCTTTTAGTTTTGTTGTGGTTTGAGACGGCCTTACTGTGTAGTTGAGGCTGATCTTAAACTCAGTATGTAGCCCAGGGTGGCTTCAAACTCACAGCAATCCCCCTGCCTCAGCCTCCTTTGTGCTGGGATGGCAGGTGTGTGCCACCGCATGTGCTCCCTCGTCCATGACTGAAACCCCCTTGTCCTGTGCTAGTCGGTCTGTGGCCTGCTGGGGCACCTGGGGGCTGTGTTGTCACCCCCACATCCAGCAGGATGGCTTCTCCTGCGTCCTGCTGTCCGCTGCCGTTTTGCTTGGAGCTGTTTCTGCGGCCTCTGCCGTTTGCCTTCAAGACCTCTGAGCCTTCCCTGTCTCCTCCCCAGGAAGGACTCCAGTGCAGCTGCCCCGACGGGGGCTGGGGGTGTGGCCCCCGGCTCAGGGAACAATTCTGGGGGCCCCAGCCTCCTGGTGCCGCTGCCTGTGAACCCCCCCAGCTCTCCGACGCCCAGCTTCAGCGAGGGCAAGGCGGCTGGGGCCCTGCTCAATGGGCCCCCGCAGTTCAGCAGCGCCCCGGAGATCAAGGTGAGCGCCGCCCTTCCCGGCTCTGCCCCGGCTCCCCTGCAGCATGCTGGAGCCACTGCCCTTCCCTGTCAGTGGTTCTTCCAGGTGGAGCCCTGCCTCCCCCAGGCCGGTCGCTGTCCTCCAGTCCCTGCTCTGCTCCAGACTGCCCATGTCCCAGCTAACCCTGCCCACACTGTTCAGCCAGGGAAGCAGCACTGGAGCTGCTCGGGGCCCTGCTCTGTGTGGCTGAACGTGGCCTGCTTCCTGCCTGGGGGTGGTCTGGGGGCCTAGGGTGACCGCCAGGCCAGACACTTCTGCAGTGGCTCAGGGGCTCCTAGAGGGCCGGGTGCCAGGGTGGTTCTCCAGCAGGGGTGGGGTGTCCCCGCCGTGTGCGGGTCTGGGCTGTCCAGCGTGGAGTTCTGGCGTGATTGTGCCTGCCGTTGAGGTTCTTCGCTAGAGCTGTCCTCAGGAAGCTCCTGGGCCAGTCTGGCTAGAGGGGAGTCGGATGCAGAGGCCCTGTGGGCGCAGTGCACACTGGGGAGGCAGTGTTTTGACCCTGACGGGAGCCCACCGCTTCCCCAGGGATGGGGGTTGTGGAGGGCATGGCGGAGCCCCGAGTGCAGGGACAGAGGCACATCTCTGCCTGCGGGCGGCGGGGCCTGGCGGGGGTGGAGTGGCTTCATCCTGGGCTGTGGATGCAGGACTCGGCCTCGGTCCCAGGAGGGCCACGCAGGGGTCGAGGGCGGGTCTTGGCCGCAGGAGTGGACACCACTCTGATTTGTGTGACTAAGCAAGCAGCGTGGGGCTGCAGGCTCGGAGTGGCAGAGATGGCGTCCCAGCTTGCAGAGAGGCCTCAGGTGCCGGGGTGCCTCAGCAGGGTCCATCCAGGGAGCGGGTGCCATGCCCTGTGCTTCGGGTTTCCTCTCCTCGGTGCCTCGGCGCATTGTGGACATGTGTTGGGGACCCGCAGTGGGCAGTCCACACTGGGGTTTGTTATCATTGCTCCCCCACAACTATGTATGCAGCTTCTCTGTGCTGTGAGCAGAGCCTGCCAGCCGGTGCTTCTGCCCTGCCCTCAGCCACGCCCCTTCCTCCCCAGGCCCCCGAGCCCCTGAGCTCCCTGAAGTCCATGGCCGAGCGCGCGGCCATCAGTTCGGGCATCGAGGACCCCGTGCCAACGCTGCACCTGACGGAGCGAGGTGAGGTCCGCGGGGCGGAGGGCCGGGCCAGGGAGCAGCGTGGGCTCCCGCCTCACACGGCCTCGCACGGCCTCACACGGCCTCGCTGGCTGCCCGCCTCGCAGACATCATCCTGAGCAGCACCTCGGCTCCCCCCGCCTCGGCCCAGCCGCCCCTGCAGCTGTCTGAGGTGAACATCCCGCTGTCTCTGGGTGTGTGCCCGCTGGGACCGGTGCCCCTCACCAAGGAGCAGCTCTACCAGCAGGCCATGGAGGAGGCCGCCTGGCACCACATGCCGCACCCCTCCGACTCCGAGCGCATCCGGTGAGGGCTGTGGAGAGAGGGAGGCTGGGGCGCGCGGTGCACACCTGCAGTCCCAGCTGCTCGGAGGTGGACGGGATCGAGGCAGACCTGTCGAGCCCCTCAGCGAGACCCTGTCTGGGAGTACAGCGAGGCCTGGGGTGTAGCTGAGCCCCGAGTTGAATGCCTGAGTGCCCAGGGGCGGCCTCGCTGAGGGCCTGGCGAGGGCCCGCTCAGTGCTCCGCGGCCGGAGGGGCCGCAGACGGCTGGAGCTGACCCCTGCCGTCCCACAGGCAGTACCTGCCCCGGAACCCCTGCCCGACGCCCCCCTACCACCACCAGATGCCGCCCCCGCACTCGGACACTGTGGAGTTCTACCAGCGCCTGTCCACCGAGACGCTCTTCTTCATCTTCTACTATCTGGAGGTACAGCGGGGCCCCGCTCCGCCGCCACTGCCGCCGTCCCCCTCGGGCTGGAGGGGCGAGGTGGGTGCCCCGCTGCGGCCGTCGGGACCGCACCCCTTCTCCACCCAGACCCCGCCCCCGTCCTGGTCCCCAGACCCCCCACGTTAGAGCTGCCCAGGCTGAGGGAGAGGCTGGCCCGTGGTGGCCCCGACTTGGCTTGGTGTCACCGCTTCCCTCGGCAGGGCCGACCCCTGGAGGGAGCCCTGACCTCCCCGAGCCCAGTGATGGGTGCCCCAGCCTGAGGGAGCACCCAGCCGCCCGCTCCCAGCTCCGGCTCCGGCTCTCAGTGCGGGAGTCGCTCTGCCCGCACAGCTCTTCCGCAGCAGTGCCCACCTCCTGTGTCATTTTCCTTCTGCCCGATGCGGGTGTGTGCAGTGCCCTGTGCTGGCCCATGCAGGCTGCCCGCAGCCCCCTTGAACCCCGCCCTGCCCCTGGCCCCCTCCGGCGTGGGGTCCCCTGACCCCCTCTGCTCTTGGTCCGCAGGGCACTAAGGCACAGTACTTGGCGGCCAAGGCCCTGAAGAAGCAGTCGTGGCGGTTCCACACCAAGTACATGATGTGGTTCCAGAGGCACGAGGAGCCCAAGACCATCACCGACGAGTTCGAGCAGGTGAGGCGGCCACTGGCTGCTGTGCCCGCGCCCGGGCAGCCCCCGCTGCCTCCCCGCCCTGCAGCAGCTCCGTCCCGCCGGGGACCAGGCTGGCCTCCACCTTGTCCACCCGTCCAGCTCCAGGCCTCTCGCGCTGAGCCACATGTCCCTGCCCAGCGCAGCCCCCCGGCAGCCAGTGTGCCCGCCGTCACTGGGCACCTCCCTTTCCCGGGTCCTACAGGCAGGGGCTGCTCCGCCAGGAGGCAGGGCGTGCTTTCTTCTTCCATCAGCCCCCGCCCCTCCCCTGCCCTCTGGTCTCACCCCCACGCGCGGGGTTGCGCCCGGCTCTGGCCAGGGCCCAGGGGCAGTTGCTGTGCAGGTCGGGGGTTACCCCGCGTGAGTGCTGACGCTGCCTGCTCCGGTGGCGTCGCAGGCTGAACGGCTTTCCTCCTGCCACTTCCGTGGGCCTGTCCCACAGTAGCTTGCCCACGGGTGTCCCCGTTGCTGCCCCCTCACGCCCACGTGCTCGTCAGGGCCTCAGGCCGCTTCCTGGGAAGCGCTGCACACTGGCTGTGAGCCCAGGCCTCCCCAGGTCCTCGGCCGCGTGCAGCACGCTCGCCATGCAGACCCCGGGCAGCGCAGGCACCATGGCCTGCGCACTGCAGCGCGCCCTGTGCTCCCTGGAGGGTGACGGGGGAGGCCCCAGCTGGCACACTCGGGGCTCCTCCCCACCTCCCCCGTGCTGCCCTCCGAGGTGGGGCACACCACGGCTGCCCAGGAGGCTGGCACCTTGGCAGCCCTGAGCATGCCCCGCTGTCGTGGGCCTGGCGTCCAGCCCCTCTGCACCCCTCGCTGACCGCCTTCTCCCTGGCCAGGGCACCTACATCTACTTCGACTACGAGAAGTGGGGCCAGCGCAAGAAGGAAGGCTTCACCTTCGAGTACCGCTACCTGGAGGACCGGGACCTCCAGTGACACCGGGCCCCACCCGACCCTCCCCGCATGCTGACGCCCCGCCCAGGTGAGGGCCCTGCCCCACGACGGGGAGGCCCAGGCCACGGGCACCCCCTCCCCAGGAAGCTGGGAGGGGGCCGGGAGGTCCTCTCAGCCCCACCCTGGGGCCCAGGGGCGAGGCCTGCCCCCTCCTCCCCTCCCCAGTGAGGGACATTTTTTGGTAAACCTATTTTCATTTTGGAAAATATTTATGAATAAATAGTTTTATATGACGGCTGGCAGCACAGCCTCTCCTGTGCCCCTCGGAGTCAGTGCGCAGCGGCGCCGTCCTGCCGGCGGGGGCGCCGGGCCAGCTGGGGGTTGAACTGGGAGTTGTACCGGCGGCGCCGCTCGTCCGTCTCTTCCTCCTCCGCCTCGCCTTCGCGGGCCGCGCAGCCTTGCACGCGGGCCAGCA